CCATGGACTAGGACTTTGTTTTTCGGGTTTTTTTTTTTTTTTTTCTATTTTTGTTCTTTTGCCTGTTTGGTCCGGGTTCCCCTTGTCTGTGTTGTGGTCCCTGTGGTTTGGTTTTTTGGGGTTTTGTTTTTCTTTGTTCGTGGGTGTAATTGAACTAACAGCTGTAATGTTGTCTCGAAGAGCACATCTTTTTCTTCTGAGCAGTGTTTAAACCAGTTTCTCCCATTGCATGAACAGGTGTATCACTTAGTGGTTGCCAGTGCAGGTATCTGAGAGACAGACCTGTGTGCTTTAGTGCTTTTTTATTGAGTCCATTCTTCTCATGTAACTATTAATATTGTGCAATAACAATGCTAGTCAGATATGTTTGTCAAAAACCATGTGTTACACAGTGTTTGTCCATACAGACATCAGAGAGAGAGAGAGGCAGACAGACAATGACTGAGCCCAGGACAGGCAGAGAGAGGACAAAGAGGCAGCTGGATAAACATTTCAACTGTGAGCGTTGTCCAGCTTCACATACTTATAAAATATTATTAATAAGAACAATAAATCATAATAGGTTCATGCAGATAGTTTCATAACAAATGTACTGTAAATGTTTATACAGCATGCTTATAATGTGCATTCTAAAAACTGTTTGTGTGTTTGTTTTTGTTGTTGATTTGTTTTCTGGGGTAGTAGGACACCCAGACTCCCTGCCAAACCTATGTCCCCACCACTTTCCAAGTCAAACCTATGCCCTTCAGTTTCTGGCCGGACTCAGTTCATGTTATCATTGTTTGTTATTGCTCATGTTGATCTTACTGATTTAGGATTTTTTTTTAAATGAGCCATTGTTCTTGTTTGCCATCACCTTTCTGGCTTAGATATTGGTGAGTTTGTGTTTTAATGCTACATTATAACTGTAGCTTTGGTTGTGCTTAGTACTCAGCTGTCTTGATACAGACCTCATTCAAGTTACTGAAAAGAATGTCCAAAAACTAAAAACCTGACAATTGAGTATTGTATAAGTTCATAATTTTGCTCAACAGTATTCACCAGCCAAAGGAACAGACCTTACAGAGTCCTGTAACCTGAACCTTCTTGTTCTGACCGATGTAGGAGAAAGTAACATTCAGTCTGTAACAATAACTGCTAAAATCCATAGATGGCACATTGTTTAGTAACATGACCTTGCTGATCTGTGTCATATGGTTTGCTCTATTTGTCTAGGAATGGTTGTCTTGAAAATGTAATATTGTTTATTTTTTTGTTGGTTTTTAGGTGCCTTTAATGAATGCCATTTTTCAAATGCCCAAGACCTTTTATTTAAACAGTGTGTCTGTGCTGTAATAGACAAAACCTTTTGTGGAGTAACACATATGGCTCATCCCCATTTTTTTTCTAACACAATGACGCACTCTTGTGAGGGCAACCTACTGAACCCCATACATGAATATTAATTTACAGCACACTACCAGCCAAAGGTTTGGACACACATTCCCCATTCAGTTCAAGGAGAAAGCATGTCCACACTTCTGACTTGAAATGTATGAACAGACAAGCACCAAAATGGATGCAAGCTGTGCATCAGGGAGCAGCCTGCAGTCACCTGGAGCCAATCCCAGCCAGCATCAGGCGAAAGGCGGGAGACACACACACACACACACACACACACACACACACACACACACACACACACACACATTCACTCCTACAGGCAACTTTAGGGTCACCAATCAACCTAAGCCGCATGTCTTTGGAGAGTGGGAGGAAGCCGGAGTACCTAGAAAAAACCCACGCAAGCACAGGTAGAACATGCAAACTCCACACAGAAAGGTCGCGACCCCAGAACCTTCTCGCTGTGAGGCAACGGCACTACCTACCGCGCCACCGTGCTGCCCCCTGTTCTATTCTAGTTGTAGTTATTGTTCACAAACTGTAATATAACTTTTTGCTCTGGCTAAAAGCTATTTTACCCACAAGTATCACTGTTCCATCTCCTACTAAAGTATATTCAATACTTCATTCATGTTTCTGGTGATGTTGCTTATAATTAACAACTCTGCCTCTTATGAATGCACTCATAGACTGTGGTAAATCCAGTCTTCACACAGCGTGATGATAACCTGCTTCATGGTACTGCTACCCAGGGGGGTGTTCTTTGTATGTAGATTAAAAGGTTAATTAGATAACTTTGTTAACAATTTCACATTATGCCGGATCTGTTGGGTCTTCAAAAGTCTTGTGGGACTTGTCATAGCAACATGTACATAATCTCAAGACAGGGAATATTGGAAGTAGAAAAGTAGAATTAACAAATCCAAGATAATAAAACAAAGCAAGCCTTGGCCTAGTCTGCTATGTGCATCTGGTCTACATCAAAAGGACATATACAAGTCATCAATGTTCACATTATAGACAACTGTACCTAATCATTTGCGGAAATGTGTTAAACAATAATTTGGAGGAAAAGACTGAGACGTGTTGTGGAGAAGAAACTAAATATGGAGAAAATCAACCAAGTTCAAAACTCGTTTGATTATTGAGGCAAAGCTATGGAGAAAAACTAATAATCGTGGTAGTAGAACCAAGAATAGTAGGCTATGTGACAGTGATACCAGCCTGCAGAATATTCTGGTACTTACCTATAATACAGAGATTATAGGAGGTAATAAGGAGGATCAGGACACATAATCTAAGCAGGTATTAGTAAATGAAGGTGATCTAGACGTCTCTTGTGTGCACTGGAATTCCTTTTTGTAAATGGGTTGTCCTGCACCAGCATGTCGCCCTGTTGGATGTACGAGCATACAGTTGTGTGTGTGAGGTTGCAGATCATTCTCTGCCTCTCTCCCTCCCTTTGACTACCTAGGTCGAGCTACAAGGCGTGGCTGGGAGTTACCAGCACAGCTGCAGCCAATTTCCCATTAGGCTCCAGGACATTTAGCCCGTGCTCTGCTGCTTTCTCCTTGCCAGTCAGTTTTGTTGTTTTCACAACTTCTTATTGGCTGACCTACAATCACCAGCCTAAGGGTATTTTGTTCTCTTTCCAATCTGTAAACCTCTGAGTCCAGCTCTGCTCCATTCCAGCCTGCTCAGCTCCATGCCTGCTGGGTTGCCTAGCTCTGACTAGTTTTTCCTGGCCTGCTCTGCTTGAATCCACTGCCCAGCACAGCCTTTACCTCCTGCCCACTCAGCTCCATACACCTAGCCAGGTCAGCCCTGTACACTCAGCCAGTTCAGTTGTTTCTGAACCACTTAGCTCAGCTCTGTACTAGCCGCTCAGCTCAGCTCTGTACTAGCTGCTCAGCTCAGCTCCATATAAACTAGTCTACTCTGCCGCGCACAATCTGGCTAGCCTAGCTCTGAGCTACCTGCTTAGCTCAGCTCCATGTGACCAGTCCTCGTGACCAGCCCTCTCCACTTTCCACCAGTGAGCCCAGCTCAGTGCCTGAGCTTACAGCCTTGCTCTGCACCTGTACTGCTAGCTGGCACACTTCCCACACTGCCAGACTGGCCCTACTCTTTCTCTGCCAGCCTGGCTTTTCTCCATCTCCACCCACCCAGCACTACTCCAGCTCCACTATCCCAGTCCTTCTCTGGCTCCGCCAGCCCAACACTACCCCTGCTCTGCCTGCCAACCCAGCTCACACTCTGCTGGCCCAGCGTACTGCCTAACTACGCCGATCCAGCCAACTCCTTTCCTGTTCTACCAGTAGGCTCACCTCTGCCATCTGGGATCACCGTTTTCCAGGCTCCAGTACTTCTGTCTTCATTCTCGGGACTTAAACTGCCTACTTACCAGTCCCCGTCCCATTCAAGTGAGTTATGTCAATCCATCCCAACATCACATTCCGAATGTGGAACTACTAGTAGTCGGGACTTGCTCAGCCAGATACCCGAGTTTCTTATCACCCTATCTGTTTAAAAGCTCAGCCAGATACCCAAGTTTCTTATCACCCTATCTGTTTAAAAATAAAGTACTTAAACATCTCTGGTTGTCTGTGTCATGCCTTTTATTCCATAACCTGCGTATGTAGTGGCTCGTAGGCCATAACAGTGTGCACTATTTACGCATAACAAGATACTACAAACTGAACTGTCAAATCGAAACAGTTTAAATGGGATACTTCTGTATTTGATTAATTGGCCATTTACCATCCATCTTTTTCCATTTTGCAGTTGTGTGCAAATGTTTAATCTTGGGTATGTCTAGATTAGTTTTACACCCCTCATAACTCCAAATAGTTTGTAATTATTTCAGAATAATAAAACCAAAATGCCTCTTCCTAAAAATGAGAGGATAGTTCGTGAACGCACACATCTCCTGCTGCTGTTGTTGTGTCACAAGTGGAGAGCACAACGAACCACAACGGCATTAATCAATGTGAATTTCTCCTTCATAGATAGGTAAACAATGGTATATGTATCAATGAAAAGAGATGTGTAACACTCTAAACAAAGTGGGTAATTGAGAAACCCCATATTTTAACTGGCATAATGCAGACATAGGAACTTCTCCAGCCTTACAACAATTCTCTCTAACTATACAAAAATAAGGCATTAACAGACATGCAATGTGTGATTTTTTTAAACTTACCGTTAAGTCCCACCAGTAGTGGTGGCATCACTCCCTTTCAAGTAGCTCCAAGGTCAGTAAATCTAACTGCTCACATGAACACACAACTGCCTGGAGATTATGCCCATTCAAGGAGATCCTTAAACTATCACGTAATACTTAATTTTGTTAGAAAAAAAGTCTCACAAATGAGACATTGTAGATAAGTCAAAAAACAGGGAAAAGCATGCCATGGGCTCTTTAATGACCCAACCAAACAAAAGTGGGTGTGTGATAACCGCATGGTGACAATCAAGTAATTCTGCAATAACTTTACAGTGAGAAACTGTATTTCTAACATTACCCTATTCAAAATCACCCAAGACCTCAGCCTCAGAGACCGAAAAAAAGCTTGTTCTAACTGTGTCAGTCTCTAACAATCTTTTCTTTGTTGCAGAAACCTGTTAGACATGGACACCTTCTCAAAGTCAGATCCAGGTAAATGCTGCTACCATTACATTCATTCTAAAAAGTAATATTCATGTTTGTAATTTCAGCTTGGAGGTGATTTCACATTCTCAATATTTTTTACACAGCACACTACATTATGCATACTAAATGTGTTCAACACAGCAATGACTAAATGATTGCATTATACAACTTATCTGTGCACAACAAGCAACAGTAAGTAGTAACACAGCATCTCTACAGAGTGTTTACAGACACAAGGAAAAGCTGCATCCCAAGGGTCAGCAGGGAAAGACCGTTCAACTAATCACTGGAACCTGATTGACACTTAATGCCGGCTGGCCACACATACACACACACACAAAGGAAGTGATTCAGAGAAAGTACAAATGCAAATGAGAAAGAAAATAAATTACCTGACTGTCAAGAAAAAGTTTCAGTTTGATGAGGTTGAAACAAAGAGAGCCAGAGAGTTTCCTGCTGTAATAAATGTAGTTCGTTTGGTGAACAGAAATGACACACCCTGTATCTATCATTTTATTATCCTCATCATGGTCATCATCATCATTATCCTCATTTTGCTTTCTACTGTATAACAAATGGGCCATTGAAAATCTTTACATGTGGTTATGTTAGTTATACCATGACAGTTTGTTGCATGTTGTAGTCTTTTTAATGTGTACAATGTAATTTATTCCCTTGCATTCTTTAATAGATCTTTCATTAATGCTGACATCTCTTGCAACCTGCTTGCTCCAGACTAATTTGAGAATCAGACCAAATTTCAGGCTTGATATTCAGTTTGCTATGAGTTATAATAAAAATGAGAACTAAAAAAACAACAAATAAAAAATAAATTATGTGAAATGAGTGCAAAAGACAGACAAATGAACTAATTACTACTTTGATGCAATTGTATTCAGTGTAATGAGTACATCTGTGAAACCGCATACTGTAACTCCTGATTAGTGAAACAGTATCCTCTGTCACAGTACTGTATCTCTTGCTCAGAAGAAAAATTTGCCACCTGACCTATTGCCTTACCATTAATGAGCATCTTGTGTTCAGTAATGTTCTGGCTCTATCTATAATGTTATTTGACTCACTGGATCTGGGAAAAAAATGGTTTCTTGACTAAATTCATCTATAACCCTTGTTAATTAGACAAGAAGCAGCAACACAACAGCTGGAACAAATAATGAAAACATGTCGGCAGTGACATTTATGAAAAAGTAAATGAATGTAATGTAATGTATCAAGTGTCATGGCTGTGACATTAAGATTACTTTCATCTGGTTATCTTTCATGTTGCAACACAAGCTATGAGTAAATTCCAGGATTGACGTCTAAATCACTAAGGAATTATGATGATGACTTATCTTCTCCTCTCAAGCTAAACTCAAACACTTACAGTATGAACAAACAGTATCTTTTCCACCAACTTTGCATTAGAAGAGAACAACATATGCAACCACAGTTACTGTATGCAACAAAAATCGCTACAGTAGGTGGCAAGGCTGGGGCACAGACTTGGAGAGGGGTGGCACATTTGAAAAACATGTAAAAAGTAAATTAAACCACTAGTTCAATCAAATAATAATCGATGCACTATTGCTTACTCCCTGTTGGAGGCATCGCTGCTGCGGTTCCTCTGAGATGAATCTTGTCAAATACTCCACAACAAGAAATTAATGCAAATATCATGAATCATATAAAATAAAATACATTTTACCAGTATGCATTGAATATGTAACAATAATTACTTTTACTTCATTAACACAGATTTGTTTGGGAATATTGGACATGCAAGTGCGATAAATGCTTAAAATTTTACATTAATTCAGTTTCCCCCCAAAACTAATGAGCAATTAATAGAACAACAACAAACTAAGTGGCACAGTAGCACATTAAGTCTTGAGGTCCACTGAGTGTCTGGGACTCTGGGGCAGATGCCTACTTTTTCCAGTTGGTTATTCAACTTTGCATAGTCATTTTAAAATATATTTTATTCAGCCTGATGAGCTAACTCTGACATTTGTGGTCTGTCTGTTGTGTCTGGATGGATGACCACATCTTGATTAGGATAGCAAGGAAGAGATGGAAAATGTAGAGTGCTGGGGGTCACTCATTACACCTGAAAACTTAAACTGCATGGGAGGTGGGTGTAGCCCTGCAACAAATGTCTATGGTCTCATGTTGGTTTTATAGGAGACTTGTTTCCCATTTTTACAACCCCAACTGAGCAAAAGTTAGGATGGTATGTAAAATCTAAATAAAAACTGAAAATAGTAATGTGTAAATAATCTGTGTCCTGTATTACATTGAAAACAACACAGCAGCACATTATTTGATGTGATATCTCATCAATTTTATTCTTTGTTCAAAATAAACACTCACTTCAATTCTGATGCTGCAACACATTCCAAAAAAAGTTGGGATGGCTGCATTTCAGGGCCAGTAATGAGGTAAAACAATGAAATGATGATTCCATTTGAAACAGGTGATGTCAACAGGTGACTGCATCATGATTTGGTACAAAAGTGGCATCCAGGAAAGGATGAGCCCTTTAGGAGCAAAGATGGGCCGAGGACCGCCAGTTTGCCAACATATGTGTGAGAAAAATGTTGAAATGTTTAATAATCGCCTTTATTAGGCCAAGTATGTTGATGTCAACAGTGTTCAGAATCTCAGTCAACTGCTCTGGGCTCTGAGCCATCTGGGATGGACCAGTACTGTGGTCAGACCAATCAGTATTTCAGATCTTTTTGGAAGGAATGGACGCCATGAGCTCTGGACGACAGACCAAAATGACCATCCAGACTGTTACCAGCAACAAGTCCAAAAGCCAGGGTCTGTCATGGTCTGGGGTTGTGTCAGTGCCCTTGGCAAAGGTAACTTACACTTCTGTGATGGAACCATTAAAGTTGAAAAATACAGAGCGATGTTGGAGCAACATATGCTGCCTTCAAGGCGACATCTTTTCCAGGGATGCCCGTGCAATGAAAAGACAATGCAACAAGACAGATTTCAAAATTACAATGCCAAACCTCATACTGCCAAATTATCAAGGCCTGGCTGTGGAGGAAAAGGGTGAGTGTTTATTTTGAGCAAAGAATAAAATTGATGAGGTATCACATCAAATAATGTGCTACTGTATTGTTTTCAATGTGATACAAGACACAGATGATTTACACATCACTATTTTCAGTTTTTATTTAGATTTTACATACTAAATAGTAAATGGTCTTGTATAGCGCTTTTCACATTTTTTCATGTTTTTTTTTCACATTCACAAATCGGTGTCATCTTCAGGAGCAACTGGGGGTTTAGTGTCTTGCTCAAGGACACCTAGACATGTTGACTGGACAACCTAGAAATTGAACCGCTATTCCTCCGATTAGGAGATGACCTGCTCTACCTCCTGAGCCACAGCTGCCCCCAAATACTGTCCAAACCTTTTCTGATTTGGGGTTGCAAAATCAAACTAGGTTTATTTAACACAAAATCCTGTGATTTCCCACTTGTGAAAACTGAGAAGTACGATGTGAATGTGTCCAAACAGTACCTTAATTTCACAGCCCCAAAGCAAACTCTCACAAATAAGTCTCTGTAAGAGAAGCCTAACTATCTAATGCCAGTCTGTGGATTTCGATCGATTTCATGTACTGCAGATTAGAGACAGTTATTTCATCTAGTTGAAAAATCAGTAATTACTATATCAAAGCTCCAGTGAAGTCCAGAACTTAATGTAAACTTTCTAACTTTCAGAAAATATTATTTCATATTCTTCAAGACTTCAAGAAAGAAGCTAAATGTCAACTGTGATAAACTGTTCTGAACATTTATCATTTCAGAGTTTTATCGAATTAAACATAGTGTCAGGCAGGCAGACAGGAGATTTTCTGTGACTGTCACTGAGGACATTATTATGCACTCAGGTTCCACTCAGGTTCATTTGTGAACTACAGTTTAGCTGCTATGAAAGATTCTGGCAGTTATCTGGTTTACAGTATGTCTTGCCTCATACAGTTTCAGGATTAACCATAAACTTTGAATGTCATTTTATAGATGTATGCATTAAAAACAACCTTCCAGGTGTACCACCCCCAAGACATGCACACATAATCTTAAATACTGTGTGAAGTCCTATTGATAGAAACTGAAGGATCATGAGAGGATATACTGTAGATTACAGATAATGGAAAAATATAGTACTTCTGGGGTGGCTGTGGCTTAGGAGGCAGAATGGGTCATCTCCTAACCAAAGTTGGCAGTTTGAGTCCCGGCTTCTCCAGTCAATATGCCAAAGCGTCCTTGAGCAAGCCATCAAACCCCTAGTTGCTACCGGTGATATCACTGGTGTGTGAATGTGTGTGTGCAAATGAGAGAATGGGAAACAGTGTCATGCATTTCAATGCATAGAAAAGTGCTGTATAAGACCATTTACCATTCTGGGTTTACCAATTGTTGGGTAAGAAAAATAAAATACAAACACAGTCTCCTCCACTTATTGGCACATTACTATAGATTAATCTTTCTTCCTGGTCTATACAGATGTGGAGAGCCAGGATGGAGGGTAATGATTGTGCCAGGGGGGTCCTGAACTTCAAACTCTTCCTCCCCACCAGGAGGAAGAGAGAAGCTGGACTCACTGTGGCCATAATGCCCCCTCAGCTCTTTCATGTCCCTGGTTAGAGCTCTCTGTCTGACCCAGGCGTCCTGGCACAACAGGACAGGGTCGATACCTACTGATAATGTCACACAGCACTGACAGCTACTGAGAACTAACTGAACCAGTTCATGCAGTAGATGCATGGCTGTAGATAACTGACTCCGTTTAGAGCAGGGGTGCCCAAACTTTTCTCCTTGGAGGGCCAAAATGAAAATGCGTTACTGGGCTGAGGGCCAGGTGGGCGGCGGCGGCGGCGGCGGGGGGGTTTCCTGGTGCACTTTCTGATTGAAATGTGTTTATTATAAAGGCATTTAACATTTCACTCTTTGTACAAAGAACAGGAAGCAAATACAAAGCAAATGAATCTTTATTTAGCCACAAATTATGTCCATATGCATGTACATATTAACAGCAAATAGCAGCAGTTTGACACTATTAGTGAGACACATGAAGCTGGTCTTTGGCTTTGACCAGCCTCTCAATGTCAGGCTGAAGCTGACTAACTGAGAGGGTGAGAACGTCCTGCAGGTGTAGATCAGTCAGATTGCTTCTGAGCCGGGTTTTGTTAAGGTTCATTACACTGAAAGTCTGTTCACAAATGTAGGTGCTGCCAAACAGAGATAACATCACCTGTGCATGCTTCCTAATGTTTGGGTACCGTTCTGGTGAGACATGTGTGTAGAGGTCCTTCAGTTTCAGTGACATGAATTTATTCCTCAGCTCTGAATCGCACTGAAACTCAATCAGCTCCATCTGAATGTGATCAGGGACACAGTCCACACTTGTGCTGAAGGGTTGGGAAAACAGCTCCATGTCACCTGAATTCTTCCTGAAGTCCAGAAAGCGCATTTCAAACTCCAGGTCTAGGTTGCTGACAAGTGTTGCATATTCAGACAGTTTCTGTTGTACCAGGTTTACCTCTCTCAGACTGGGGAAGTGAGCCAGGTTTCCTGAAAAGAAGTAAAAAGTAATTAATAATTATCAATGCAATAAATATTGCAATTTTCACTCACTAGTAATGTCATATTCCACATATCATACAACTGACAGTTCTGTTCCTCCGCATCACATGATCACATTACCATTAAAATTATGTATTTTGTGCAAGGCATTAACTCACCTGCTGACAGATGTCGACACAGTAGCTGCAGTTTTCTCTGAAAGGCCTTTATGTGGTCAAACATCTCCGTAATAAATAGCTGAGAGACTGATCTGGGAGAAAGCTCTTGCCTGAGCGGGACACACTAGCTTTGCAGCCATGGATAAGCATTCTTTAACAAAGTCCCCTGTAGAAAATGAATGTCCACTCCTGGCAAGAAATGTCCCCGCGGGCCAAAACAAATGTTCCACGGGCCAAGCTTGCCCTGCGGGCCCCACTTTGGGCACCCCTGGTTTAGAGCCAAAGTCAAATGGTAATATTCTATGTAAATATATTTTACAGATTGACTGGTTGGTACCTGTGCGTTAGAGGTCACCGGTTGTCTGATGGGCTGCAAATGAACAGCTGGTTCCTCATCCGCATTTTAGTACATAATTCAGAGTAATGTTACTTCATCCAAATTTCCATTCTATAAACTTTAAAAATGGTTCCTTTTGTTATAAGAAAAATGACTTCATCCAAAATACATAGTAAAGGACTATAAATAAACATTGCCCATTAGCAGTAAAGACAGACTTCACATACAGTATTATCTGACACATGAAATTGTTCAGTGTTAAATGGCATGTTATTAAAAATACAGTATACAGTAAAAGTGAATGGTCACTAAATGTTAATTACAATTCCTGTCCATTTAATATTTTTTTGTATTAAGCCAAATCCTGCAAAGAATGAATTCAGTTAATTTGAAAAGCAGAAATGTTTCAGTGAGTCAATAAGCTGACTGGATCTGAGCGCTGCTTTTGATATAACTGATCACAAAATGCTTTTCAACAGATTGTGGGATCACATCTACCGGTAACTATTTGAAAGTGTTTTTAATTGGTTTACCTCCTATCATTTGACAGACTGTTCTTTGTAGCAGTCAGTGATACATTTTCTAAACCTGTTAAAATAACTTGGGAGTTTCCCCATGGATCAGTTCTAGGGCCTACTGCATATACTGTATGTTGCCTCTAGGCAGTGTCATCAGGAGGCATGATGACACTCAGCTCTGTGTGGCTATCTCCAGATGATGCTGGGACAAGTGATATGCTTTGTAAATATAGTTTTGATGTGAGGGCCTTAATGTCAGAAAACATTTTACAGCTTGACCAGGAATTTTAATTATAATATTCAAAAGTTCAAAGAGAGGAAGGCCAGAAACACTACCTGTTATCCTGGACTCAGACCTGAATTTATGTTTTTAGTATAAAGAACCTAAGTGTAGACACTGGAAGAGGTGATATAGTGAATAGTTGATTTAATGGCAGAAAAGTGCAAACAGTCCACAGAACAGATGGTAAAAAAATGGTAAATGGACTGTATTTTATATAGCGCTTTCTCACAGTGTGTTGCACTGGCCAAAGCGCTTTACAGAGATGATACACCATTCACCCATTCACACACAACATTCACACACTGATGACGACAAGCTGCCATGCACCGGCGCTAGTCAAGCCACCAGGAGCAATTCGGGGTTCAGTGTCTTGCTCAGGGACACTTAGGCATGCAGGCACTTAGGCACTTAGATATTAGATCACTAGCAAAAATCACTAAACAAGTGAGTATACAAATATTACACAAGAAATGAATTTGAATCTTGCAGGTGACAAGTAAGTATTTGAACAATACATAACACAATATAATAACTACAGTCTACCAGGTACTATCAAGTACAATAACAGGAAAGTAACAAAACTTGCAGGAAGCAGGTAAAATTCAATTCAGTTTTATTTGTATAGTGCCAAATCATAATCAGTTTTATTGGCTGGGCGCTTTGGACACAAGGAATTTGACTCTGGTACAGCGGCTCTCAATGTGCATGTACATATCCCCATGCAAGGCAACAGCAAGGGGCAAGCAAACAATATACCAACATAAGGCCGTGTAGTAGAACAAAATAAACAGTATAAACAAACAAACAATGCAAACAAGCAAAGGAATGTTCATTAGAAAGCGAGATAAAAAGAGTACTTAAGAATAGAGACCTGTACGGATCTGTATAATCTGCACAATGTATATTTACCACTATTGCACTGAGGGTTACTGTCATGCTGTCGTGGGTCAAGTGTTCATCAGAGTGACAGCCCAGGGGAAGAAACTGTCCCTGTGCCTGGTTGTCTTAGTGCACAGTGACCTGTAACGCCGTCCAGAGAGGAGGAGTTCAAACAGATTGTGTCCTGGGTGTGAGGGGTCTGCAGTGATCTACTCTGCCCTCCTTTTGACCCGTGAGGTGTACAGGTTCTCCATGGAGGGCAGGCTTGCACCAATGACCTTTCTTGCAGTCCTGACTGTCCGCTGGAGTCTGTTCCTGTCCTGTTTGGTAGCTGCGCCAAATCAGACAGTGATGGAGGTGCAGAGAACAAACTCGATGATTCCTCTGTAGAACTGTATCAGCAGCTCCTGGGGCAGGTCAAACTTCACAACAAAAGTCATCTCAGGACACTTCACAAAGTAAGGTCTAGACCTTACTATTATTATTATTATTATAGAGGAAAATCCCTGAGTCTTGGTGGGCAGCCTTTTGCCTTGACTGGTTGGGGTGAATGGAAAGCCTGCGGAACTTAGCCTGTTAATAGAGAGAGGTACAGTGGGGCAAATAAGTATTTGATACGCTGCCGATTTTTCAGGTTTTCCCACTTACAGAGAATGGACAGTTCTGTAATTTTCATCGTAGGTACATCTCAACTGTGAGAGACAGAATCTACAAAAAAATTCCAGTAAATCACATTGTTAGATTTTAAAATAATTTATTTCCATTTTATTGCATGAAATAAGTATTTGATCACCTACCAACCAGCAAAAATTCTGGCTTTCACAGACCTGTTAGTTTCTCTTTAAGAAGCCCTCATATCCTCCACTCATTGCCTGTATTAATTGCACCTGTTTGAACTTGTTACCTGTATAAAAGACACCTGTCCACACGCTCAATCTATCAGACTCCAACTTCTCCAATATGGGCAAGACCAAAGAGCTGTCTAAGGACACTAGGGACAAAACTGTAGACCTGGGATGGGCTACAGGACAATAGGCAAACAGCTTGGTGAGAAGGCAACAACTGTTGGTGCAATTATTAGACAATGGAAGAAATTCAAGATGACTGTCAATCTCCCTCGGCCTGGGACTCCACGCAAGATCTCGCCTCATGGAGTATCAATGATCCTGAGAAAGGTGAGGTATCAGCCTAGAACTACACGGGAGGACCTGGGCAATGACCTGAAGAGAGTCTCAACGGTTACCATTAGTAACACACTACACCGTCATGGCTTAAAATCCTGCAGTGGCACACAAAGTCCCTCTGCTCAAACCAACACATGTCCAGGCCTGTCTGAAGTTTGCCAAAGACCATCTGGATGATCCAGAGGAGGCATGGGAGAAGGTCATCTGGTCAGATGAGACCAAAATAGAACTTTTTGGTATAAACT